TGTGAGGCATAACTGAATTCCTAAAATAATTTTCTCAGTGGGCAGCTTTGTCCAATTGTGGTGAGAGCTGTCTACTAACCAAATTGGTAGACAGTAATTTACGTCAATGTTTACGTTCTCAAGATTTGTCGTGAGAAAATATCAACAAAGACTGATTTAAAACCGACCACAGCAGACTTTGCTTAGGCGGATACAGTTAACATATAGATGATTTGACATTCAAGAAATAGTCACAAAGAGATGAAAGAATGACTTTAAGTGAGAAACAACCAATCAAAAGACTGTGTTTGTTTGCTTAACTAAACTATAATAATGTACATGAAAATATATAAATATGCTTTGATTTCCTTAATAAACGATCTGTTGCCTGGCTCTTGTCTTCTGTTGTTACACTATGACTAAGTTTTATACTTATACCTTACCGTTGATATGATGTTCTTATTGATTTTTGATAGCTGGTTGACGACGGTTTAGGATATTACAGCCATTGTAATGAGTCAGATGGTGTGACACTTCCACTCTGCCTACGATGCTTTCTATGAATTGTAAACAAATTCCTTTTATTACCTAATTAACCATAAAATGCATAAACCGTTTTATGATAGTGTGATCCCATTAAATATGGTGTCTAAATCATAATGCACTGATTTATATACATTAATTTTAAGGCGATTCACTACAATATTGATTGGTACTGTCTATAATCTAATTTACATTGTGGGAAAATTCCTAACATTAATGTAACTGCATAGTAAGGAATTGTAATCACGGTAATTAATATATTTCATCGGCTTAGTTTTAAGTTAAAAACTGGTGTTTATATGTAAATGCTTAGAAATTATGGGGAAGGTGAATAGCCTAGATGAATGTATGTAAGGCTGTCGCGTTCTTAAAACTGGATGGTTTATCTGCAAACATCTTGTTGCTCTCCTGGACCATACATCTTTAGTGCTAACTTCAGCGTAAGTTGAGATATCGGAATTGTCTATGAGTGAGATATCTGTCTTTGCCCCATGATCGTGACTGTGTCTGATTCTGTTCGAGATTTTCTTTGGTTTGTACTCATTCCTTATTTTGACGAATGATGACAAGGAGTGGAGTGCAAATAGTGCATTTCGTCCTGTTTGGGACTCATCAGCCAGCGGTGCTTGTAACTGCCAATGGATGATGGTATTGCCACCGGCATCATTTCAGTCGCTAAAGTGGAATCCAGTAGACCACAGGGGACTGCTAGATCCACCTCTTGTGCAGCCATTATTAGTTAATATTTGTTTAATTTAAATTTATATTTCCTATCGATTTATTTTGGTGATCCACTTTCGTGTCGGATCCTTGAGCGGAAGCTTCGACGATATATTGGGATTATCATGAAATTATATGGTAGAAGTTGACTAGCAGTGGAGTCTAGGATGAGCATTCCATCCTGTTTGGTACTCGGTAACCTTCAGCAATCGTCAAAGCTTCCATGCTCTAAGCTGATATCGCATGTTCATTCCTCCTCTTCGTCACTTAATCCATCACCCCGCCAGTCAGTATTCTTACTGAAGGCATCACACATCTAATGATGAATTCTTGTAAGGGACTCACTGGGACTTACTGGTAACGTCTCCGACTTCAGTACCCTGCGAAGCAACGGCGTCAGTTCCTTCAAGGTTGTAGATATGCCTCACTGATGAATACAAAAAAATTCTTAACTTGCATTCAGACATTCCTGCAAATTAATTTCAACTACCTAAAACGGGGTTCCTGAATAAATGATGGGAAGTAACATTAACTCCTTGCATTCTTCGGAAATTGTCGAAGTTTCCACACCAGAAGCCGACATCTCATGGTGATTTCTCCTCTCCAGCACTTAACCCGTTGCATCACATACAATGTACGATTTAAAAATTCTTGTCCTTGGCTCACGCCCCAAGGTTACCAGAAACCTTGGACATTTAATCCAAGCTTCGTACAATCAAACCATCCAACTTAAGATACTATAATTTCAATGTCAAGAGGTGTAAATTTATATCCATCTGTAAATCTTAGGTGACGATTTCTATGCCCATCTGTTATAATACTTCATAATCCCGAATAGACCAGTGGTGACCTCTCTGACTGAAGCACTGTGTAATGCGGCGCCATCGGTTCCTTCAGGGTTTTAAATATGCTATGCTAATGAGTGCAAAAAAATTACTAGACTTAGGGCCAGATTTTGCTTCCAGACGTTTTTTAACAATCTAATACAGAATTCTTGAATAATTGTGATGTGAAATAACACTTTTTACGTGCATTAACTTTCCGCTGCTAGTTCGTCACCTCTGCAAGTTCAGTGCTCTTACAAGAATCTTAAACTCCTCTTAATGAAAAATAAAATACCAAATAATCTTAACTTCACCTTAAGAGTTCATCTTTTATATAATGCTGAGGCTGGATGCTGGGATCAACATTAAGAAACCTAACTTATGTATCAAAAAGAAGAAATTGGTTCAGATACTGTGCTTACTCCGCTGGCCATCTAGGTTGTATTGATCCTCAGTTTGTTGAAGAAATTTCCTTAATTCTATTTGATATTCTATTTGCTATTACATTTTTATGATTATTATAATTTATGCGTCTTACTTGAATAGTAATTTCACTAATCTTACTCAACAAATCGATATTATTTAAAAAAACACCAATGTTGTTAATGACAACTATTCCAAAATATTCTACGTATATAAACATGCAGATATCTAATTGTAGAGCCAGAAGAGGAAATTATCGAAAAGAATATTCTTTGCTCAATTTATTCGGTTTTTTCTAGATGTCTGCATGAATATTTTCGCTATATTGAAATGCTAATATTATGTACTCTGGTCAGTTTATAAGTGTCGTCACAATTAATTTGGCAGACTCTAACCATGACAACTTTTGAGAACTTCGGAAAACACTATCTTTCTACTATGCTGCATGACTTTGTGTGAATTTCCCGAATTTTAAATCAACTGAAAATGGAGTTACATGTCATATGTCCTCAAAAGTTGAAAATAAGTGGATTCGGAATCCGCCTAACCAACTAACTCAATAGGCATGGTATATATCAAAAATAGCCTATCTCATCGCTCTTACAAAACAGTCAAAAATTATGGAGGAAACAACAGTTAAAACTTCATATTGCCAGAGGTACCAAAGGGGTTATGTTGCGGATCAGAAAGTCTCTCGTAATACTCATTATTATAAAAATTCTTTTTGTATTTCCCAATGAATGACAAAAAACGATTTTGTTGTTTTTGCTGACGTTTCACTGCTCAATACTGCTAATGACTTTATCAAAGTAGCATCAATAAACCAGAATTTACAAAATCCACTCAGCTTATACATAACAACTTAATCATCCTTCCTCAGTATGGGATCAATCTTATGGTGTTGTGAAGTTGGTCGATTGTTAAAGATAAAAAAAACCAGGTGTAGATTGCTGGATTTGATAAATGTGTAAAATTATAAAAGCAGTGTGTGTTTAAATAATGAAATTGCTTATCACATTCATGTTGATTTTGTCATTTCATGCAGAAGGGGGCTGGGTTGTTGTCACTAGATCAAATTCTGTTTTAGTCCATCATTCAGACTGTTCAGACAATTTGGATTCCATTTGATGATATGAAGGGCTTCTGATGATATTAGATGTTCTTTGTGATTTCAATATTTTCAAAATCATTTTTGGCCTGATTCTATAGCGTGTAGACGAGATATGGCTTCCTGATGATTTTTCAAGCTTTTCTGGTCCACAACTGAATTTCTCGATAGTTGGTCGAACAGATGCTCTATGGTGTCCATTTCTTCTGATTTTGATTTCTCGCCATGTTTTTCCTATGTATATCACATCACATTCCAAGCATTTTATTTTAAAGACACAATTAGTTAGAGAATCCTTAGAGGTTTGATCTTTTATATGAACAATTTTGCTTTGTAGTGTGTGTGTCTGATGTTTTGAATAAAACTCCGATGTTGTGTGTTTATTGTCTACTCTTCTGATATCATCTATCGTTTCTGATCTATATGGAATGACAACTGTTGAAGCCCATGTCTTCGGATTATGTTGTCGACCATGTTAAATGTCGGCTTTGATTTTATAATTGAAGTTCTTGCGGCAGTTATTTTGCTTGCGAGTCTTAGTGATGTTTGATATCTCTTCTTCTCTTTCCGTCTCATCCGTTAACATCAAAGATTTAGTTCGTCTAAGAAACTTGAAACAGCTGATACCTTAGAGATGATGGGTTGTGATGATCCGAACCAATTAGCCAAATTGACAACGTAAGAATTACTCCCTGCTGAGGAACGATAATTAAGTTACTGGTTATATAAGCTGAGATTCTGCTAATTCTAGTTTAATATTTCTACTTTGATAAAGTCATTAGCAGAATTAAGTAGCGAAGCGTTACTAAAACTCAACAATACAGTTTTGTTTTTTATTCATTGGGAAATACAAAACTTTAATAATAATGAATGTATCATATATCCAATGGCCAAGTTTTCTGAAACTGTTGAAAGCGAACTTTGTTTTTTTCGAGTTTGACCACGGATTGATATCATTTAGAGCATCACTTAAAACCAACCAGGGAGTACCGGACAACCATTTGCTCAACCTAGTTTGGGAATCACTGGTAGCACGCACCCACCGCCAGTGTTCGAACTCATGACCTTCCAGTTACTAGGCAAGCTCGTATACCATTTAGCCACTGGGACCCGATTCAATGACCAACCCATGAATTCTAACTTCTACTAATTCGTGATCTTTTTAGCGTGACCACCAACCGTTCTCATCGACCGGAAATCCATCCTCACATCCCGAGTGGATGCACCTCACTGGTCACGACTTCTCACTAGAACTCCAGGATACTCCATCCTGTAGCAAGTCACTAGCGAGCATCAGAACTTTGTGAACTTTGTTTGGACATATATATATATATCGTAATACTAGCTAAAGTTACCAAAATATCCCAATAATATTTGAAAACATACACAAGAAATAGTTTTACCTGAACTTGTTATATCCTCTGTATGCCTCTTCACTTCGATGTAATCAATAATGAGGAGTTCATAAATAATCACAATGCATAATAAGTAGTAATTATTGAACATATGAAAAATTGATTAGTTTGATATTTTTTTGGTTTTGCTTTATTTCTCTTATTTTAAATAATCCACAATGAAATTTATTATTTTTTTAGAAAATCTGTATGATTTTAAGTTTTCAGACCGTAGGTGTTACGAATTTCTTGGAATAATTTGTGCGTCGATTCAGATTGATTCATTATAAATTATTTAAATTAATCCCAGCGTGTTAAGAAAATCAAAACAAGATCTGTTTTCTGAACGTTTTGCTGTGTAAGCCACAGCTTCTTCAACAGATTTATTCGGATTTTTATTAATCATCAAAATATATGGTCAAAAATTTATTTAAGAAATTGGCAACACTAATAGTTATCAATGAGTGATGCTAACAAAAGTCTTCAGAAACGATAGTCAATTTCAGTAAAGCAGGTCACTATAACTTAACTAAGGCTTCTGATTGGTTGCTTAATTTTGGCATCAGTGATTTGAAATATGATTGGTCGGTTATTTTACCTATGAAATAATTGAAATGTGATTGGTGGAAAATTAAGTCAGGTGGAATTTGTACTGTTTGATATGGTAAGGTGCTGTTTCCTTTTAGAAAAACTGACACAATTACTGACTGCAGTGTTATTCCCCTTGGATTCTGAATGGAAGAGAAGGTTTCACCAGCACATCTGCATTTCATCCTGTTCTCCTGTAGACCTTTCCAGTTGACTCCAAGACTGACTGTTAGCTATCACTTCCTCTTCCCAACTGGTCGTCTCCCCTTCAGGCTCCACTTGGGAGTTTACCTACCAAGCGATGTCACTCAGTGTTCTCTTCAGCATGTGTCAAATCCACTTTTGGTTGGTTCGTTGCCAGGCTTATTTGTTGGTTATACTTTCTGATTGACTACCTGATCTCCAGAGTATGGAGCGAGGGGGATAGATATTGCTGAAAGTCTGTCGCCTATCGGAAATGCTTTCTGTGACACGACAAGTTACTGAAGAGTGCATCAGATTTCTGATATGTACCGGTTACCAATTTTGATATGACTGTTAATTCCCTTGGTAGTTTGTGATAACGAACTTCCTACCTAGTCAGTCTGCGAGCCTACTCTCCTAATCACTATTAACAACAACGTTAACAACACGTTACAATGCAATCGAAAACGCAACGCAAAAAGACAATAAGAGAGGACTGACTATTGACGTAGAGAGCTTTTACTATTTCAAATCAAACCACGAAGTGGGTTTACAGCAACTGCATATATATGCCTTAAATGCCTTTGAGAGATAATAATTACATTGATAAGTTAAGACAGTCAACACCCAATGGGAATCCAAAGGTCATAAATAGGGTGAAAGACGTCCAACCAGACATGTATAAAGGACATGTAGAAAAATAGGCCCACATATCAATTTCTACATTGATTTCAAACTAATTAGGGTCTGTCTTGCTTAACCTACCCACACTGGCTTTGACATCTTTATCTGTGTCATCTCTAGTTGGAATGGCTCTACCTAGATTCATGAAAGATGGAGCCTCCTTTAGATTCCTTCCAGAAATAGCGATTTATGCTAGTTGTTGTCTTCTCTATGTTCATCTGAAATCTTATCTTCGATGTCCATCTGTAGATCTTTATGTTTATACGACATTAGACATTTATCATGCGAAAAGTCCAGATCTTTAGGAATTTTTGTTGTCTTTCCTATGTATGCCCATGTTTAAGTTGCCTAAACAAAGTCAACTGCCTAATCCAGTCCGAAACAGGTAAAAATATCATCGACGGCAGTAGGTAGGTTATCTCGTCTTATTTCTGTTTTTACTTCAATGACTTCGCCAAGCTTTTCACTGTGAATCTTTTTGATATATACAGGCCTAATCTTCTATGTGTCACTTTTACATGTCTGTTTGTATTTCTCTCACCCCACTTATAACCTTCGAAATCCTATTGGTTGTTCACTGTCTGAATTTGTTGATGACAGCAGTGCTTCTCAAGGTCATTTTGAACATATATATATGCAGACGCTGTCAATCGTTTTGACTGTTGTTTTGAGACAGAATAAGCTCTCTTATCAACTTCCAAGCTTCTCTTCTGTCTTTGCGGCCAGGCAGTGTTATTGCTGTTGACGTGTAATTTAGACAGATTAGCTGGCGCATTAAGTAGTATTCGCCCATAGTCTACTAGGTCATACTTCCGGTTACAACATACTTGTCTTTGGGTGTGACCATAGGGCTGATGAATGTGGTTTATAAATGTTTGTAGCATTCCCTATTTTTGAAGTGGTTACTGACTTCAGTTGAAGCAAAGTTGGTTTTCAGCATCACGACTATTGAGTCAGTGGTCTAATCAATAATTTATGAGATTTTTCAACTGTCTCACACTACGGTTTTGAATTTATTCATTGTCTTTCAAACGAACTGAAAGAAAGTCTTTGTTTATTTGTTATTCTACAAAGAGTCGTCCCTATATCAGATCGATAATCTGCCGTTAGGTTTAGAGGCCTTTAATGTCCGACATTATGGTGTCTGCTTGACAAGTGTGTGGAAGGTGACTGCCGGAAGCTTCTAAAGTGTATAATAGGTATATGCAAATAGAAACTAGGTAGAGAGGTATTTAAGACCGCAGTGGAATAAACGAATGAATACACCTTTTCTAGACCTACAGTTCAAAGTTGTGTTGATGAATCGCTAACACCTCCGTCATACACAAGTTGAATATGCGTATGGCTGGAAATCCAGACCAGAAGTGTAAAGAACCAAGAAAGTCATATAAGTAGATATACATCAGAGATGTCAGCTGAAGAGATTTAATTTCAGTGCCATAAAAGCACCGATATGGTTCGAGTGTTATGTAGACCTTTTTAATCCTTTATGCTCCAAGTGAAACACAGCGAGAGCTTCAAGCTAGAGGCATATTCTTCTGAATCCTCATAGCTTCGGCTGTAAGTAGGAGACGAGTTCTAATTCCGTTTGAAGGTAAGGCGCAATATGACAGACTACCATGAAATAACGGTGAGTGTTGTTTAATTCTACGGTTTAGGATTGCCAGCTCAACTTTCACTCTTCCCTAGGCTTATTTTTAACTACCTAGTCAGTAGTTCAGGAATGCATCAGCTGGGAATAGAACCCTGGCCATGTGCATAGCTAGTAGGCATTCCATCATTTGACCTCTGATACAAAAAGGGGTTAATGAAAGTTATATAGCTGATTTAAATACATTGACGAGTTGATTGGACTATCTTTAAGTATGCAAACAGTTCTTAAATTATTAGTTTAAAAAGTTGACATTTAAAATAAATTTTATTTTCACATCTGATCTTCAAAAACCGCCAACATCAGTAGTAAAAGTATCCCACTACGTCATCAAACGATAGGTGACAGAAAGCATAAAATCATCCTACTTTCAAACTGAAACCTTAAACCGTCTGGAAATTGGATGAAGTGACTATCAGTGCAAAGTGTAACCGAAGTTTGATCTATTAAATAATGCTTTGGTGTTTGAAAAGGTGGATTTTCTGTTTTGAATCTCATTGGTAACAGCATCAGACATTCTAGATACGTGTGGACACAATCAGATGAGGATTCCAAACCATGACGAAATATGCATGCTGTATTCAACTGGAGGACCTTGTCAGTCAAAATATTTGATTAGCTTGACACCAAAAGGAAAGAATCAGCTGTTCAGTGTGTAGATTACTTTATTCTGACTAGGAGGCACTACTGTACAACGTAGGTCAACCCTAACTAATCATTATGTGGTGAGAGCTGTCTGCTAGCCAAAATTGGTAGACAGCAATTTGCGTCAATATTTGCGTCTCAAATCACGGTCATTAGGAAAAATAAGAGCAAAGCCAAACCTTGAGGAACTCAACAACCAATCACAGCAGACTTAGCGTGGGTGAATATGATTCGTAGATATATGGTCTGACCATCAAAGAAATGGCCACAAATAGATGACAGAATAACCTTCAGCTTGAAAACAACCAATCAGAAAAGATTGCTTCTCTGCTAACAATAACGAATAACAATGTGCATAAAAATCTATAAATATCTGTTGATTTTCTCAATAAACGATCTGTTGCCTGGCTTTTGCCGTCTGTCGTTACGAGAACACCATCACCCATTGAGGAGTGCAGATAAGTCTAGATAACGAGCCCAAAATAGGACGAAATGCGCATCCTGGATTCTAATGCTAGCCAACATCCAGCAGAATACACACAACCAATCCTCTTCTGAATATTTCTAAGCCCCAAATAACCACGTCTTTATACGTATAAGACTTTTTTTTCCTTCACGTTCCCCTGTGGAACATAAGGCTTCAAGCTAGTGGCTTGAAGTTTCTGTAACAGTGTTTATTTTACAGGATGGGGTTGCTAGCCCCATGCCCAACGTTTCCACTTCACCAGCATTATTTCTGGCTTATCCAGGTAAAGTAGTGCCTTGTCGGCCGGGGATCGAACCCCGGACCATGTGCATGGTTGGCGAGCGTCCTAACCGCTATGCCACCAAGCGCGTATAAGGCTTGTACATGATGGTAATTGTAAAGTCTGACAAGAATTTACTGAAAACACACACAAATTTGCTTGTTTAAATCGTCTTTTATGTATATATTATGAATATTTTCTTTTTTTCTTTAGTTTATGAAATCAAAACGAAAATTAGAAACAAAGTTACAAATGTGTACAGTAAAATATTACTGTTAAACTTTATCAGTAATATGTTCTAAATTCATTAAATTATCTGATCTTTGTTGTTCAGTGTGTTGTGATTGTTGTTGATAGTGCTGGTTTTGTGTTTTTCTCAGTTGAGATGAACTCCTGCCATTACTGGTATTCATATTATTATTACTATTATAATTAGTATTATTATTTGATAAACGTGGTAAACTGTACATATTATTACTATTATTGTTATTATTATTATTATTATTGGTACTCTTTGTTGTATGTGTTTGATCCAGTAATATCCATGGGATAACAGATGCTTCTTGACGAAGCCATTGAATATGGATTGGTAGGAAATTGAATTTCTCTTGCAGT